AATCCAACTGCCAATCTCGGCGAACAGACCAACAACCAAGCAGCGCACCCAGGCTACCTACATTCCACAACATTGCTAATATGTGATTAACTGGCCAAATACGGTGGAGTTCTTCAAGTTTGCCTCCTGTTGGAAGTCCTGTCTAGAACCCACCCTGAAGAACGTCGTTAGAAGTAAGAGATAAGATGCGGAGAAAGATTGGACTATAAACTGTTGTTCCGTTGTTGACAACTAAATAATTATTCACTGGATGGTAAACAGCTGGCATCACGTTTGTTTATGCCCTCGTTATAGGACACCACTACCACAACACCTGTCCTAATTCGGAGGGGCGCATTTCCATTCCAGCGGTGAACTCAGATCGATGTTTATCATGGGAAATGTAAATAGTTGGGACATCTGTCTTCCCCCGAATCACAACCGTATTACAACTTCGTAGAAAGTATAGAAAAAAACAGCAAATAGGCATTCACTACCGGCCACCAGGCACCCGCAAATCACCGGAGAAGTAGCTCAAACGAGTCACTCAAACTGACCAGGAAGCGCTCCAAATGAACTTATAATTTATCTCAATATCGTCTTTTCAAGGTCGTTTTTCGCGATCGATCGTCTCCTGGACTCTGCGCAGCGACTCGCCCTTCCCTGTATAAATCTCCAGAACACAGTCACTTGATAGACCTGTTTTCTACTTTTCATATATTAGTAGCTCATCATGCGATATTTACCAAAAAATGGCCATTTGCCGTTTAATATCTGTGGGTAAACGAGACTTTGAAAGTATCCCCTGGTTGCTATGAGGCAGCTCATAACTGAAGACTTTCTGTAAGCTTTTCTCTTCACAAGAAGTGTACCGATGTGATTCGAAGCGAAATACGATTTTATCGAGTTTGAAAATCGCAACAGTCAACCCTCAGTGCACGAACGTATTCGACAAACTTTCGAAGAAGTAGTAGCTAGAGGTCTTCTGATTCGTTTCAACGACGGGATGTTAATTAGATATCCTTGCTCAACTCATACGACTGAGGACGC